AAAAAAAAAAAAAAAAAAAAAAACACAACTATAGGAGGCAAGGCAGGAAGATCATTGGAGCCCAGAGCTGCTGTGATGTCACTACACTCCAGCCTGGGTAACCCAGTGAGACCTTTTCTCATACATACACACAAACTCACATAATTACAAAGAACACATTATTGGGAAATCTGAAAATAGACTATGTAGTAGATGGTGGTTCTATTATCAATGTTAACTTTATTGAGTTTGACAACTGTACTATGGCTATGAAGGAATATATCCTGACATTTAGGAAATACCTGCTAAAATAGTTACAGCTAATTTATCCTAATTCTATAACTTAAAAGAAGATTCAACAAAAACTGCATATATGCATTGTGGGTGCCCCAAAACGAACAAAGGTGGCAATATATTGATAACTGGTGACCTAAGTAAATACGGGTGTATATTGTACTATTCTTATAGTTTTTCTATAGTTTGAGATTTTCCAAACTTGAGAAAAACAGAGAAGAATAAAATTTAAATTTGTACAGATATATGTATAATAAGGGTTTCCTAGCTGTGAGAATGCCATCTTTAATCACCATATAGTATCCTCACCACTGTTTTTTGCTATGTCAAGATTTAGACCATCACGTTACATATAATAAAATTCTACCTTTTTTCAGCATTGATAAGAGGGTAAGTGAAGCCTACCAATCATAACAGCATAGGAAATTAGTGTCTATAAATTGTCTATTACAGGCACAATTCACTAAGGGGCAAACAGATTTTTTTATTAAAGAACCATATAGGCAGGGCACAATGGCTCATGCCTGTGACCCCAGCACTTTAGGAGGCTGAGGTGGGAAGACTGCTTGAGACCAGAAGTTTGAGAATAGCCAACACAGTGAGACCCTGTCTAGCTCTACAAAAAATCTTTAGCCAGGTGTGATGGCATGTGCCTATACTCTCAGGTACTTAGGAGGCTGAGGCAGAAGCATTGCTTGAGTTCAGGATTTCAGGGCTATAGTGAGCTAAGATTGTTCCACTGTACTCTAGCCTGGGCAACAGAACAAGAATATCTCAAGGAAAAAAAAATACATATATATATATATACACATATATGTAGTAATCATCAACATGCTATTAGGCTCCTACTACTTGACTGTGAGAACCATTTTGTAAAGATTATCTGGTATCTAATTAAAAAGAAAGAAATTAAACCAGGGTAAAAGATGCCTCTGATGTTCCAAAATTATTCTGAAAGGTCATTTAATTTAAAAGAACTTCAAACTTGAAATTTTTCCTTCACATATTTATTCCACTGTCAAAATAAATTATAATTTAAAGCCATAACATTTTAGAAGATAAAGGAGAATTTGTGGCACAGCCGCATAACAGACAACAGTCTAAAGTGCAACACTAAACAGGTGGTCTCTGTTCCCGTGGTGGAATAAATACGCAACTATACATAAAATTTCACAAACAATCTGAGATGAGGCAAATAACCCTTTGAAATGAACTGCCCAACAAATAATTGCTATTAACATTTTACTGCAAGATGGTAAAATCCCCTCAGTGACTACTAACTCGAACCCTCATTTCATGCACCTGGCCTTGGCATCTGTCTCCCTTCCCTGGTCACATCCAAATCCAGAAAGCCTTCTGCACCCCATGCTTGAAAATGCAATCCTAAGTCCCCGAGGTTCTCAGCACAGACTGATGTTAACGACCCTGTGAGCAACGTTCCTCCAGAACCTCCAGGGAAATCAGGAGCACAAACACAAGAGCAGAGTGTCATTTCTTTAAACAATAGTTTTAACTGTCAAATGAGCTTTCACAAACCAAAATATTATCTTCATATCTTTGTTTTTCTTGCAAAAAAGTCAAGTAGGTCATCCAAGTAAAACAAGAATTTTAACAGAAATATTGAAAATTCAAAGGGTTTATGCCAAAAAGCAAACCAGTCCTCTGCAGCCTAACTCATTTGTTTCTGGGTTGTGAAGCCATGTAGAGGGCAATCAGGCAGTAGATGGTCCCTCCCACAGTCAGCGCCATGGTGGTCCTGTAAAGCATTTGGTCAGGCAGGCCTCGTTTCAGGTGGACAGGCACACCATCCGCTTTCTTGAAAGCAAGAATTAACAAGGGCATGGTTAATAAGAAAAAGATGTTACAATTTTAGGCTAATAAAGAACAGATCTGGCTCGGC